CACAGGGGAAAAAGAATGTGTGTCATAATGACACTACGCTGGTCACAAATGGCCAAGTGACTCAGAAGAACTCTGAGGGGGCTGGGGATGGACAGCAGCACTGAGGAGGCACTTCATGGTGTGGGAAAAAGAAAGCCACTCTTTCAGAGAAACTAGCTTTTAAGAGTAATTATCGCTTCTCCAGCTCCCTTGATAGCATCTGAGAATCAAAGAATATTTTAACCTGGCTTTTCCTGCTCCATCTGCTTCTCAGTTGATACTCTGTCTCTTAGATCTATCCTCCACATTTCTTAATTCTGCTTCATAATTTTCATCTTAATCTCTTTGCTTTGAATTTTCAAATAAATCCCCTGTTCAATTTTCCAGATCACTTATTTTCTAAGTCCTCAGTTGATTCCATTTTGCCCGTCAGCTCTTCTCTGACCTCAAGCCAGTGCTTTTTAATGTGACGATCCCATGGGTAACTTCTCAGCGCTCCTTTTCTCAGTCTTCCCCGTGAACTGCTTTTGCATTATGGATATGCTATTCAACTAGGTTTGAAACTATGAATTAGAATCTTCCTGGGGTATTTTTTTTTCAGATGGGGGTCTTGCTAAGTTGCTCAGGCTGAGCTTGAACTTGTGGTCCTGTTGCCTCAGCCTCCACATGCTAGGATTTTAAGTGTCCATGACTACACCAGACACCCGTGTTAACTTTTCACCAATCATTCCACTGGACTCAATTCTGATTTCTTCACTAATGGCCCTTTTTGGTTGTTTGCACATATTTACAAACCCAGGGGCTGGAATAATCAGTGTGAGACTCTAAAGAGGTTTTCTTTAGATTTATGAAGATAATGGTGAATGAGCAGAGCAAAAAACAGCTTTTAGGTCAAGGTTCAGATGCCCCACAACCTTGGAGCTACAAATGGAAAAGATCCTGGGACCCCAACAACTTCCGGCTATTGTCATCCAAGGGTATCCTGCCTTGGTAAGCTGCCCAGTTTATTCAAAACTGAATTAAATGGCTTTGTTGCAGAAGCAAACTGACTACTAACCCCTTGGTGCCAAAAGGAGAGCAAGACCAGAGCAACTGTTTCAAGGTTATTAATTCCTTGCTGGCTGTGCACTCTCATTACCCATCTTTGTTGCCACTCCCTACGGTTTTGATTCTTGGGACTCTTACAGGATGCTAAGAAAATTCATTTTTCCAGTTATCCTTGATTTTGTCTCTATTGGGTTGTAAGTTCCTTTGCTGTGGAATTTCACCAACATCTGATCCCATCTGCTTTACTTATTCCACAAGGTCCGTCCCCAATGTTTCTGCGTCACTTTAGCACCTTACTCATTTTTCGGCTCCAGTATGAGCCTATTCATACTTTTTGCTGCTTCTGTATTTTCAACAGAATTTTGGAAGGAGCAGAGAAAAAGTAAATAAAAAGTTCGATGCATATCCACTTAGGGGCTTCTAAAGCGGCCATTCTCTAAAATAAGGAGGTCTCTTTCCTCCCTGGATGCTAAATGATTAGGCGGAAAATTTGGCTGCCTTCTAACAGAATTATTACTTTTAATCACAAGGGTCCCTGTTAAAACAAGAATACCTCCGACATGGACGAAATCTAAGGTCCCAGATACCCAGGTGTCCCTGACAGCGTTTTTTAAGTGTCGTCATCATCCGGGCCAACATCCAACCACCAGATGCACGGGGAGGCAGATGTTGTAACCTTCTGGGGAGGAGGATGTAGTTCTGTTCTCTGAGAGGGTCACTTATCCAGCCCTGCCCTCCCTCAGTGATCACTGAGCATGTAACGCCACAACAGGGAACAGATTCTGGAACAGGGAATACCTGAGTCTCCCCACCAGGATCTGGAGTCATTTTAGATAAGGTCCTCAATCTATCAGTTACTAAATGTCCATCTGTAAATCACACTCCCCGCCAAAAATGCAAGACTTTGGGAAATGTGTAAGGGAACAAGTGGTAAAGGACTTGAAGCAGGCCCTTAGGACTAGTTTGTAAGAACCACGCTACTGGTCAACATTGCGCTAGAAAATGGTCACGCTGAGGCGAGACGCGGTTGTTACTCAGTTGTGCCTACTGGTAACTACCAACCAGGTCAGTTACTCTGTTGCCTTCTGAAAAGGTCAACAGCAACTGCCCCACCACACGTCTCTGCCAGCTGCCACAAAAACGAGGTTTACAGACATCTTTCTAATGTTTTGAGACCACAATGCAAATCTAACAGAACGAGAGGCATGGAGTAACACATTATGATGAAGGGACACATGCATCTGGAAGTTTGGAAACTACTGTTTTTTTAACAAGAGAGCCACAGAGGAGAATGAGTCCTAAGAAACAGTGTGTCACAAAACTCTGACCAAAATGCACTTAGGAAGCAGTACCTGCTGGATCAACTTATCCTCAAGTAAAGGTACTTAGATTTGCTGACTTGGGTATTTCTCAAATTTAACCAAAAAATTCTCAGTAACGATGTGATGACCTGCCAAACCAACTATGCAAAAAGTTGAACCATAGCTGTCAGCTGCCTGAGAAGCAAGCAGTGTATGGTAGGCAAAAGCCAACACTTGGTGTTAGACATCTAGACCGAAATCCACACCCTCAGGGTCAGAATCCACGGACAAGAGTAATTGTGTTTATTTGTTCAGAAGAGGACTCAAAAAACCCTGCCCACAAACTGTTTATAAATAAAGTTTTACTGGAGCACAGGCAACAGTCACTTGCTTATGGATGATTTTATGGTTGCTTTCACACATCAGGGCTATACATAGTCATAACAGAGACTATGGCTTGCATAGCCAAATTATTTACCACCTGGACCTGAACAGTTTGCCTACAGCTGTGCAGAACAAAGATTCTCAACTCTTGCTATATATTAAAAGTACTTATGGAGCTTTAGTCTGGTGTGGGGCACCTGTCTGTAATCCCAGCATCTGGGAAGCTGAGAAGGACCCGAAGTTCAAGCCCAGCCAGGGCAACTAAGTTAAGACCTTGTCTCAAAATTTAAAAAGGCAGGAGGGTGGTGGGTGAGTATCATAGACTGGCTTATTATAAAGGTTCAGTTTCAATCCTAGTACACCACAAAATGACGACGATGATGATTATTTATGGAGCTGGACTTCCCATGCATCAAGTAACTTATGATCTTAGTGGGACCTCACACATTTAACTTCCCAGGTGGGCCTCACTAGCACCCACATCTCCATCCACTAGGGTTTTACCACCTCTAAAATGAGGCACAAAGGAAATCATGAACAATTCTAAGGCCCCAGAAGCCAGAGAAAACAAAGTACAACCTAGAAATATGTTCCTAATGACATGGAATTATCAGAGGGACATAAGAAAACACTCCACAAAAGGAGACGGACAGCTAGGTGCAGTGGCAAATGCCCACAGTCCTTGAATTCTGGGAGGCTGAAGCAGGAGCATAACAAATTCAGCTCAGTTGGGCAACTTAGCAAGTTAATAAGACTCTATCTCAAAAAATAAAAAAAAGGCCTGGAAATGTAGCTAATGCAAAGGCCTTGGGGTTCAATCTGGAGATGCAGATGAAAACAACACTGAGATTCCACCTCACCCCACAAAGAATGGCTGCTATCAAGAAATCACACAATAACAAATGTTGGCGGGGTTGTGGGGAGAAAGGAACCCTTCTCCATTGTTGGTTGGAGTGCAGACTGGTGCAACCACTATGGAAATCAATATGGAGATACCACAAAGAGCTTGGACTGGAGGTTCCATTTGACCCAGCCATCCCTCTGCTGGGTATCTTTCCAAGAGAACTAAAAGAATCATATCACAGAGAAGTATGTGCACCCATGTTTATAGCGGCACAGTTTGTAATAGCTAAATCTTGGAAACAGCCCATTTGCCCATCCGTTGGAAACTGGATAAAGAAGTTGTGGTTTTTCTGTAAAATGGAATATTACTCAGCCATAAAGAATGAGAAAATAGATTCATTCATAGGAAAATGGATACATACTGAAGATATACTCCTAAGTGAAATAAATAAGTCACATGTGTAAATATTGAATAGTTTCCCTGGTGTGAATAATGCATAAGATCTTCAACAATGCATAAGATCCTAATAAGATTACTAACATTTAGAAATGGGAAGAAAGGAGCTAAAGGTATAGGGAAGGTGGGATGGGTAGGGGAAGGGTAATAAGGGAACAGAAAAAATGTGAGATAATGAAAAGATGAAAATAAAGTGTTTGTAGATGGGGAGGGGAGGAGGGGGTGAAGGGAGGGCAGAGGTAAGGGGAAAAAATGAGAATCAAGACTTGTCATGTAGAGGTACAAGATCCCAACAATGAATGTAACTGTACTGTATCCCTAAAATGTACCAATAAACTCAATTAAAGCTGAAAAAAAAAAGATTCAAAAACAGCACATAAAATTGGAAATTGTAAAAAAAGTATGACTTGGCCCGTTAAATGTAGTAAAGTGAGGACAGTTACTACTAAAAGAAAATCATGAAAAAACCTGGAGCATATACAAACCATAGGAATTCAGGGTGGGGGGACAGGTAGGACAGTAGCAGTAACTAAAGAAATGAAGCAAAACAGCTCTGCAGTGAAGAGAGGGAGGAATGGAGTGTAGGGAATGCAGTTATTTTGTGGATACAGAGTTTATGCTGGAGATGACAGAAAGATCATGGATAAAGACAGCAAAAGCAAGGATGGCTAAACGACACTGCAAATGTCTTTAATACCACTAAATGGCTCACTGAAAAATAATTAAGATGACAAATATGTGTATTTTATCTCAATAAAAAATGTATAGCAAACATATGCACATAAGTTTAAAAAAGAAAACAGGAAATGTCTCCAGCCTGGAGAGACATTTGTAAAGACTGTGTGTCTGGCAAACCAATGAAAGCAGTGTTTCAGCCGGGGCTAGTAAAAAAAATTTCTAACTTCCATAATAAAGTTTCCAAACAAACAAGAAGATTGTGAGTAATTTTATTATTTGTTTTTAAAACCTCTTCTACACATTTGACAAACTGGGGTGACTTCACCATAAAGAATTTGCTGTGCCTTCTCAAAGCTCTAACAACAGTATGACCAACTTCAGCCTTTGCACGATGTACAGTGAGACGCAACTCAAAGGTTCCAAGAGGAGACAAACTATTACAGAGTCCTGAGAATAAAACAGGCACCAATAACAATTACACTAGCACAATAGATATCACCTGGGTGCATGGTACCATTAACTCCTTACATGGTTCATTAAATAATCTTTCAAGTTCCCAGGCATTTTTATTAAAAACTAACATTTCTTTAAAAGGCTGTTATTTCCTTATTATTTTGTATTCTTTATTTACAAGTTTTGTAAATTAAAAGAAAATAACTATTTTGTCTGCTTTAGCATTAAACTCAGCGAGTGTACATGAGATTAAATCACATTTGATTAAAAAAAAACTTATTTTTAATGCCATACCAGATATCTTTCAGAAATGCCTAAAAATGAAAAACTGCTTATTAAACACTGTTTTATCTCATGAGCACATTCGCTCCATGAGAAAAGTAAGCCCATTTTTCAAGGTGTCTGTCTGTGTATCATAAAGAACAATGGACACAATATTTATAAATAAAATAAAAGCAAGTTTATTTGGCATTTTAATCAAATGGTGTGCTTTCTGAGACCACGTGAGATTCTTAAGGATTTCAGTCTGATTTTTCAGCTGAAATTCCTGAAAGATGTACCAATTACTCATTAATTCAGATTGTATTTGGGTAACTAGCAGTGCGCTAGCCATGACACCTAGGACACAAAAAGACAACTCAAGGACTTAATGCTACTCATGAATCTAAGTCTTGAGTGCTATTAACTGATCCCAAGGGAGTACTGAGTTCAAATGTTGCTAAAGGGGAAACGTTTCTAAATTACCGTGTCAAAACAAACCAAAACTAGGAGTAAGAATTATAAAAGGCAGGCAAGGAAGAGAAAATCCTTTCAATTGGAGATAATGTGGAAAAGATCTGTGTTCATTTTCCACTGCTGCATAAAAGTTCACCACAAACTTAGGTCAGAAATCCCGGGCAGGGAATGAGCGGGTCCCCGGGCACGGGCAGCTCATGCTCTATGCGTGGAGCTGAGAACTTCCAGGAAGGAGCCTGGAAAATGACACAGACTAAGTCAGGCAAGCCCTTTCTGCCTGCAGCTCCTCTTAAGAACGAAGAGTACAAGGTCCATGTATCAATCATGAACGTCTTGTTTGAGTGCAAAGCTGTTAAAATTCATGAGGGGAGTGACTGCTAAACTAGAGGTCAACAAATTTCCTGAAGCACTAGATATTTGAGGCTTTGCCGGCCAAGAGGTGAGATTCAGGATAGTACTCAGGTACTTATACGAGATAGAAAACAAATGTTCACTACTGGGTGACAGGACTCAACAGTAACTGTGTCAGTTTTTTTGTAGCAAGTGGCATGGGGCCCTCCAGCCAGACTCCTCTGAGCCCCCTTCTGGAGGAGGCCTCAATTTTGAGCTTCTTAGTCTGTACTTACAGGGTCCATTTTTAGCAAAAACCCTGCCAAGTGAGAGAATCATCTCATGCTTGATACCTAGTCATTACCATATCTGGTCAAATTGCCCAGCTCTTGACCTCCAAGGTGATATGTGACTACTATAGTCCACCTCCAGCAAGAATCTCATTCACCAGAGCAAGAACCTCCCTACTCTGATGTCTCCTATCAGCAATTTCCCATCCACTCACCCGTCCTGCCCCAACCCACCCAGCTATAAATTCCATTTGTTCTTATACTTAGAGTCAGGCCCAATCTCCCTTCTCTACTGCAATAGATCCAACATCTCACACAATAATCTTTTTTTTTTTTTTAGTACTGGGGATCGAACTCGGGTCCTTGTGCTTGCAAGGCAGGCGGCAGAACCAGTGAGCTAAATCCCCGGCCTCTCACAATAATCTTTAAAAAAGTATTCCCTACTGTTTCACCAAATGCCATAATACTTCTGTAGTTAGCATACTGGTCACCTAATAAGAACAGGTTTCTTTTTATCAAGAGGAGGGGAAGATAAAACTTCACTTAACTGAAGTTCTCAATCATCAAATCAATTTCAAAGGTAAAAACCCCTTCTTAGTTTGAAGGCTATACAGAAATGGGCAGGGCAGTACTTTGTTGACCCTTGCTCTTGAGAGCATACAGCTGGGAGGAAATAAAACTTGCTATGAAACTCTAATACACATATCCCTTCAAGGCACTTCCCACAGTACAGCTTCACCAAACTACAGGGAAATGCATTTGGTGTGTGGGGAGGGGATGCAGCAATGCAGAACTGGCCTTGCAAAACAAAAACAAAAACAAAAAAGACCTTCCAACTTCCTTGAGTCTAGTGAGGAGGAGGAAAGAACAACTAGAGACAGGCAGATTAAGCCACAAAAATTCCTCAGGTGTGTAACTTTTAAGTCCACTTGTAGCTTTCAAGATATTATTAACTAACTTTGGCTCAAATTTGTCTCCATACTTGAGTGATAAAAGTTTGGCCAAAAGCACCCACTGTACATAGCTTGATGTGCAAAGTGTAAGTTAACTGAATAGAATACTCAAACAATTAGTCTCAGCCAATCACAGCAGCTGAATGTCCACCCAATCAGGGTGCTGAAATCTTCCCAAACATGACCATATGAGGCCAATGCCTACTGCACCCAATTGGGTTGTTTCTGTATGGCACCTAACTATAACCTGCACACATGGTATGCATAAAGCATTCTGCACTATCTTCAGTCTCCAGTGCTTTGTGGTCTAATTCTAGAAATTTTCTTACAAAATTTATAGGTACATTTCAGGTTTTTTTGTTTGTTTGTTTGTTTGCTTTTACAGATGCCTTTAAGCCAATAAATGAAAATAAATGATAAAATTGTGGTATCAATCATTTTGGAAGCACTAACAATATCTGATATATGTAATGGTATCAAAAGCTGCTAAAGAGTTGTTTTGTTTCATTCTTCGATTTATATGGTATAGGAAACTGAACAAACTGAACCCAGGGCTTTCACACTGAGCCACCACCCTCCACCTCATGGAGACAGGGTCTTGCTAGATAGTTCAGGCTGGCCTTGAACAAACTATTATAATCCCACGTGGCCTCAAACTCATACTGTGATCTTCCTGCATCAGCTTCCTTAATGCTGGGATTATCAGCATCCATCACTACAGCCAGCTTTCTTTTTATTTTGAGACAGTCTTATTAAATTGCTCAGGGTAGGCTCAAATTTGCAGTCTTCCTGCCTCAGCCTCCCAGAGTACTAGGATCACACACGTGCACGCCCACACTGGCTAAACATTTTTTTAAAAAGATTATGTGCCCCATTAATGTGACCTGATAGTACTTTCCCTTCTTGTTGAAGTCACACTGGAATCTTGGAAGTGAAAGTAGTATCTCAAAAATTCAGTTTACTTTTCTCAGTGAGAGCCTGTGTTTTGACCATTACAATACACTGTTATGAGGACATGCTCCGAACAGTTGCCTTGGCTGGAAACCTGGTTCCATCACTTAACTGCCTGGGTGACCTCAGGGAACTCAATGATTTTCTAAGACTCGTTTCCTCAGCCTGGAATCAGGGATCATCAGAATGACCCCCAAAGGGAACTGGGAAAAGTAACTAATATATGTTTCAAACACCACAGGATGATCTGGCACATTCAGCAAATGTCAGCTATTACTATTAGACCTCATTTCCAGTAGGCCATCTGTATTTTCTTACTCATTAGATAATTTATTAATATATAGGAACCTGCATTTTCCCCAGCAAAGTCCCCCAAACACCCTTTGGCAGCTGGTACAAACGCTGGCAGACATTATCAGACTAAACTCAGGCAGCGCAATTTAGAAACTATGAAGAGTAACATCAGTATTTTTGACAAGCATAGAGCTTACCACCCAGTGAAAAATCTAAATAATGCCACAAGTAAAAAATTCCTTTGATACCTTTTATACATTTAGGTGGATGCATAGCTCTTTTACAGCAGCTACTGAAATTTTATCTCAGTCAGTAAAGAATCTCAAATCTACAAAAGGCCAGTATAAATTTTTAACTGTAAAGCTGGAGAACAGTACAATTATTAACAGTTGTGGGCCTATGTGGCCCCTGGTATGTAATGGCACATGTGCCGCTGGTTCATAACCTGCCTGTGCTGATGCTCATGCCACCTTGGTACCTTCTTGAGACACTCACATGGCACCCCGACATCTATTTCCAGTTCACCAGAGTGAACATGCAAAAAATCTATTTGTCTCTCTGGTTCTAATGCAGAAACCATACTAAAGGTAACTATGGCCCCAGATGTATTTTTATACCTCCTAGACGGCTCAAGACCAGGATATGGCCTCCCCACTGGAAAGGGTGTTAGGTGTGGGGTGTCCTAGGGAACTCTCATGAAAGAGAAGCAGGCAGAACATGAACATCAAAGGATTCTGCAATAAATACACAGTAATAAATAATAATAATAATAAATACACAGTAATACAGGAAAAGCAGTAAAAAGTATGAAAATGCAGTCAGAAAAATAATCGCGTGATGTCCAATCTGCAGCAAGTACACAAAGTCTAAAAATAAAAGGAAAATGGGTGCTGTGTATAGGCAGGAAGGGTACCACCTATGTGTATTTTAAAAAGTCTTTGTTCCATAAATTATGCACACTTTGCAGATACATTGGGTGTGTAAAATTATGTATGGACAAGCAGGCTTGTCTATTCATAAAGCTGGGTTTAAAAATCTATATTCCTAAAAAAAAAAAAATCTATATTCCTGTGGCAGAGGCAGGAACAGGGATATGCCAAGGGACCACCAGAGTTCAAGCACTAAATGGGCTCAAATGTTCAAGTCTTAAAGACAAGAACTTGGCGACAAGAAAGAAATCAAGTTACCACAAAGAGCACTGAAGGTCTGAAGCTGGGATGAGCCCCAGGGAAGGAGGGCGAGTCTGAACTAGTAAGTGAGGGGCAATTAGCGCTGCCAAGAGTGGTAAGGAAACAGCAAGCAAAACAAAGCAAAGCTCAGGAACCTTTCTGGGCAAGCCAGAGGCTAAGTGAGACACTCAATCCTCCCTGCCAAGAAGACAGCCCCTGCACTCGCTGTTATAATTCAAAATAATGATGCAAAGAATCTGTCCTAATAAAACTACTGGGGCTTCATTAACGCCTGTGGCTTTTAACAAACACTTCAGTGATCTTGTCAGGTTTGGCTGGGTTTGCTAAAAATCCTTTCACTAGTCAGAAAACTGAAGGCCGGCTACTTGGTAACAAAGCCAAGGCGAGTCCCCCCACCGTTCACTCTCATGCTGCCACTTCTGCCTTCTCCCTTCTGGTCTCCAGTCATCCTGATCAAGGCAGGAACACCAGCCCCTGTGCACCCAGCACAGGAAGACTGAAGTCTGAACCTGCCCTGGAAGACAGCAAATGTCATCACTTATTTTCACTTTTATCTTAACGTGGCAGCTATGTTTGACACATGGTCATTTAGGGTTCCAGTACAAAATTTTTAATTTCAAGAATGCAGATAAGCAAAGAATGCTTAAGTACTAATAATACCACATTACAAACTTAAACCTGACAATGTCTGGACATTTTTTCCTTCAACAGTTAGATATCTGGACCTAACGTGTACTAGGTTACTCTCAGTGGCTAATTTCCCATTAGTCATCCACCTCTAAAGAAACTGTCTAGTATATACCGCTTTTGTGTCAACTGTCCTAGAAAACTGCACCCACACCCTGCTGCCAAAGATAGCATGTAACCTGCCCGTGAATTTCAAGGACACAACAGATAGCACTGCGCAGTGGAGTCACCGTGCTGGGCCAGGAGCCAGACTCTGCAGCGCCCACAGACCAAGCCATAAACAGTGTAACCGGAGAAGATCGATTTACCTGTCCACACTTCAGCTGGCACACCTGGAAAATGTGGACGGACAATGCCAGCCACTGAAAGCTGTGTTTTAACCACAGAGATGGCATCCATGGAGCACTGAACGCTGAGTGCGCTTGCTAGCAGACGATAAATACTCAAATGTTTGCCTTGGAACTGTAATTAGGGATACTAAAGCTCTTAAAGTCAAAGAGCTCTAAGGACACCTTAGGCGTTTTTCTCATCATAATTACTAATCCAGTTTCAGCAGAAAGCAAAATGAGCATTTGAAAAAAGTTTTAATTGTTTTATGATGATTAATTTTATGTGGCAACTTCACAGGGCTAAGAGGACCAGATAGGTGTGCCTGGGTGGGGGGTGTTTCCAAGAGATCAGCATCTGAAGTAGACATCTGAGTAGAGCAGACAGCCCTTTCCATGTGGAAGTGCATCTGACAACTCACTGAGGGCCTGAGCGGGCAGTGTGGAGACCAGACCTTCCCTAAACTAAGGGAGCAAAATGATTTCGAATCTGTGTCATTTGCAGCTCTCTGCTCCTGCTGAGATGTGCATCTTCTCCAGTCCTAGGCTCTCTGCACTCCTTTTTCTCAGCCTTTAAAAATCCATGCTGAAGCTGAGCATGGTGGCACACACCTGTCTTGCCAGCAATGTGGGAGGCTGAGGCAGGAGTATCTTAAATTAAGCCCAGCCTGGGAAATTTGGCAATTTAGCAAAACCCTGACTCAAAATATAGAAACAGATGTGTGGAGGAAGAAAGAGAGCTCAGGGTGTAGCTCAGTATAAAGACCCTGAATTCATTCCCCATTCTCTCTCTCTCTCTCTCTCCCTCCCTCTCTCTCTCTCTCTCACACACACACACACACACACATACACACACACAAATCCAAACTGAAACTTATACCACCATCTGTATACCCTTAATACAAACCTGACCATCAGATTCTTGTTAGGTAGACCGGTAACACCACTAAATTTCCTTGCTCTTCAGGTTGCAGATCTGAGACTTCTCAGTCTCTATAACCATGTAAACCAATTCTTGAAACAAATCTGTTTCATCTCTCCATCTATCTGTATCTCTAGGGAACCTGTGTACCGGGTAACTCAACTGGTTATACTAAGGAAACCAGAACCAGCAGGTCTCTCAAACTCACTTCAATAGAAAGCTAAGGAGAGTGTCTTTTGAAATTCCTTTCTTGGGAGAAAAGGAGAATCTAGAATCTTTAGTTTTACTTTACTCTCCTGAAACATCCCAACCAAAAAGCAAATACTTCACTGGGGGATAAACTCTGGATCCAAATAAAACACAACCATGAAGGCTCACAGAGTTTCATAACTAGTAAATCAATGAAATTAAAGAGCAAGGAAGAACTTGAGTGAACCATGATATACTCACCTCCTGGCCAGGAAGGAGCTTGTTGCTCAGACTGCAGGGTGGCTCCCCAGTCTTCTTACCCCTTCCAAAGCTGCCACCATCTACACACTCTCTGGCCAGACTCAGGACAAAGCCTAACTCTGCTTCCTCTCTCATGCGTGCAGCATGCAGAAACAGCAGGGCAGGCTGCTTCCAATTTAAAAGGTTTTATGATGACTAAAATGAGAAAAGATAGAAAAAACTAACACAGGAACTGAGAATATTACAAAGCTTAAAAATACTTTTAAAAAAATCTATGGGCCGAGGATTAGGCTCAGTTGTTTTCGCTGCCTGCCTGCAAGTGTAAGGGCTCAAATCCAATGCCTGGTACCAAAAGAAAAAAAAAAGCAGAGTCTTTAAAGGTTCTTATTATCACCACCACAAGTCTTGTTAACTTGTTGCTAAGCCATCAGGCAAGTTTTACAACCTATCCCTGAGAAAAGAATTCAAACACCTATTTTGTTTTTCCAGTAAAGAACCTTGAAAAATCAAATCCTAGCAGGACAATTATCTAGGGCTATGTAAGTGAGCAATAATCAATAATCTTAAGCAGACAACTGCTTCTCATCATTCAGCCCAAGTCTCACGTTGAAAAGCATCCTATCCCCTAGAGGGCGCTGTCCTTCCTGGGTCTCTCCACCCTAGCAAGGAAACCAGGCAGCCAAACTTGCCGGCTTTTCCTAAGAGCTTCCCACAGCCTGGAAGAATGGTTTTAAGAAGCTGACACGGTTGCTGAAATGCATCAATTAGTAAATGTGATAACAAGCCTGGTCATCAAGCTAAAGGACCAGAAGAATAAGAAATATGCAGGGCTAGGTAGAAAATGGTTCTGATCTAAGCAGACTTTAGCAAGAACACAGGTCAAAAAGTAGATAGCAATGGGCTCAAACTGATTTATGAGGAAAGAAAATGAGGGTGAGGGATTCAAGGAGCTCCAAAGAAGAGGAAAGAATGGTTACTCATCAAAGAGCTGCAAGGAGTTCCCGAAAAGAAGAGAAACATCACAAACTTGGAGAGAAGTTCAAAGGAAGTGAAAGGTAAAAAAAACATGCTTTCTCAAATGGTAGGAGGGAAATGGATCGGCAAAGAACAACAGAGAGAATTAATCTGGGTGAAAGGCACCTTCCACTCTCAGATAAAGAAGGAGAGCTTAAGCCTTGTCCTTGTCTGCTGGATATTTTGCTCTGAAGATTATCTACCATAGACTCATCTTGCTTAAAGACAATGCAAGATTCCTCCCTCTTCCTACCAGAGGAACGGTGAGGTAAAAGGGACTTCTGTGTACAAAGATTTACCAAGCGCTTATATTCTAGTTGCTTGGCATGCAGAGATAGCTGACATCCGAGTCCACTATGTGGTGAGAGAGTAAGGACTACAAATAAAACTTAAAAAAAGGAATCAGCGCTGCCATAATGCAAGCAATCAGGAGGCAGGAGGATCACAGGAATGAGGAGCCAGACAGGCACTGTCCACTAGGGCAGGGAGCAAATCCGTGTTTCCACTGGAGAGATTTCAGAATTCTAAGTAAGGCCTGGCCATCAAGGAAGAGTTTACACTCTTACACATAGTACTCTTACACATCTGCCTGTTTAAAACAAACAAAAGGCAGCTTTAAAAAAAGAAGGAAAAAACAAACAAAGCTGAATCTAACAGAAAGAACATCTGTTTTAAACACTGCTGTGGAGATGTCTGTAATGGTAGTCAATTTCTCATCTTTTTCATAAAAAAAAAGTCAAGAAGAATTGCACAAAGGATGCTTTTTAAGTGTTATCTTGATTGGAAAGGAATCAATTTAATTAGACCTAGATTCAAACAGGCTCAGAGAAAGATTTTAACAATGGTGCTAAAGAACCCGCATTATAGTTACACTTTTGAGGTTGCTCTAAAATCCCTTCAATTAAATTTAGGGTCTGGACTGCAGTGTCACAGCCTGCACACCTATATCTACCTTCTCTGCTACCCACCTGAGCCTTCAGGGGAGTGACGGTTGAGCGCCCGCGCCTGGAGGGCAGGAGGCACTGAGGATGTAGGGAGAAAAACAGCCCTTGCGACCAGAGTGAGCAGAAGGCCTGGATAAAGCCTGTCACATACTTGCACCACCTTCTCTGACCCTGAAATGTCTTATCAGGAGTGATCTTAATCCACAAATATTTATCAACCACATACTGTGCCTTGTGCCCTGTGCTTGGGGAGGAGAGGAGGGTAGGGAATCCCAGGGATCCTCTGCTCCTCCCAGCCTCGGAAGTGGACATTTAATCCCCTTGTAGAAAGACACCGTGGTCTGCCAGGACAGTTCCTAAACAGGTGGAGGGCAGCACATTCACACAGAGGCAGCATCCTGTCTAGAAAGTCTTCTCTCGCTACACTAATACTGTCATCAGGCAGAATCATAAGAGAGTGTTATAAAAATTCAAAGCAGTCAGTTGTGAGGGAGATGGTTGCCTCTAGGTGGGGAATACATTCTACAGATCTGTTCCCCTCCTGTGGTGATGAAGCAGGAGCAAAAGATTGCAAAGAGGCACAAAAATTCAAATATTATGAAATTTAAATTTAAGAGGGCAAAATATAGGGAGAGGGAAAATAGAAAAAGAGGTAAGATTCTTACATTATTTAAACTAAAAACCAAGAATGTCAGGCATCCAGTTAATAAGGCGCTGAAGCAACTGGCAAGTGTCTGGCGAATGAGTTGACGTATGTGTTCTGACAGAGGGAATGTCTTTCCTGGTCCACGCCATCAACGGTACAGTGAGCAGCACAACGAGGAGGTCCACACTGCTCCTCCTTCAGTCTCAGCCCAATAAAGCAAGAAAATTATGAAATAAATGTACTATCAGATGATGACCTGTCTCCCTAAAAGCCTCAAGAGTATCAAGTGAAGGAAAAAAGGTAACAAAACTCTAGAGAGAAGGTGGCTAAATACAAATGACCCTTGGGCAGGTACATCAAGTTCTATTAAACTGCACTTCTATGTGGAATGCAAACCAAAACAAGCTCTTGTTCCCCCAGCCCCATGTATTAAACAAGCGAAATGATTTAAAAATTTTCCGGAGTAAGAGTTGGGCATGGTGGGGAACACCTGTAATCCCAGCACTCCAGAGGCTGAGGCAGGAGGATCACCTCAAAGTCTAGCTTGTCTCTAAGGTGGGGGGATTCTAGAGCCAGCACATACACGGGAGACTGGGCCTCTAATGTTACCAGGAAACAAATCTCTTATTTTAAATCTAAAACAGTAGATTTAAGGGACACTGTGCTGAAGCTCTGTTTTGTTGCCTGCCCCAACCAAACACAAAGCAGGCCCTCAAATGCTGGTGGGACAAATGGTTGCGGTTCTCAGACTCCTTCAAGTTTATTCATTTAGCTGCACAACACATTACATCTCTAAAACCATACTGTCCTTACCCCACAACTTTATATAAATCCAAATTCAGCACGTCAGGCCCCACTTTACAGTCATTCTTCATGCCTATAAACAAGGCCCGTCCTGCAGCTCTTGGCTTTGTCCTAGAAACGTCTCTGGATTTCATCCTCTCAGCGCCACTGGGAGCACCCCCTCCCTCCACGGAGGCAGCTGCCCTCAATTTGTTCCTCTGCTCTTTCTGCTATCTTTTGTTTCAGATGACAGCTGGTGAGGATGGTTAACCCTTCAGGATGCTGGGGTGCTAAAAACAGGTTTTCAACACAAATGACATAAGACTCGACCATGAGGTTTTGAAAAATCCTGGCCCTATCCCTACCAATTACATCAGGACTCAGGGTCTGTGGTCCAGGCACGTGCCCATTTGATGCTCCCTTGGTAATTTAAGTGAAATTCTCAACAGCAAACTCACTAGCCGGGTTACAGCAGATTGGAGGTAACTGTTCCCTTTGGCCCTGGGGCTGGCAGAGCTATAGGCCTGGGACCGGTGGCTCTGGAGTGACCGTTACCACTCACTGCAGTGTGTCCCACAGCATCATCAATGCTCCCTGGTCAGATCATGGTGGGAACAATCATGGAAAGACTTGCATAAACAAAAGTACCTGTGGGCTGCGGGAGCCTGAGACATTCTAGGCTGGAGAGAAAGTTTTGGTGCCCAGGAGGTGGGGATAACAGAGAAAGCAATGAACGTCACAGAACAAAAAGATCCATCTTCAGTCTCTTGAGTAAGCCTGCTCCTCAATTAGTATTGTAAATTTCTCTTTAGAAACTTTCAGTGCCTACTTAATTTTCTAAAAATCCACAAGTTGCTGCCCTGCTATCTTAGCAGATATGACAGTGTATGAAGGCAAGCCACATCAAAAAGAGCTTCGGTCACAGTGAGCCAGGAAGAGCTAAGAGATAGCTAGAAAGCAAGAGCTTCAGAATGGCATACAGAACTCAAATAAAACAGGTCTAACAGACCAAAAAGGAAAGTCAAGTCCAGACAGAAGTCACCTGAATCCACCTCAAACTACCACAAGCACTGTAGACACTGCAAAACTATTTGCTAAATGAATACAAGCAGTTTAAAAAACTAGGGTACCTTTTATGAAGACTGCCACTGGAGAAGAATAAACATCAAAAAGTCAGTTCTGGCCTTTGGGTAGTCCTGCTTCATGTGGGAAGATATAGGTTAAAATCTGGGCTTGCAGTTTGCAGGCAAAGAGGTAAAAGGAAGACCAGGGTGGGAAGCAGAAGAAGCAGGGAGTGCGAGATTATTTTTGTTATAACCCCTTAAACTTTGCACATGTTCCCATCAGGCCCTGAACAGAAAGAATATGCTCACTGTTTAAAAGGCAAAATCAAAGCCCTATATCTGCTCTGTGCTCAGCATCCTACTAAAACTGGAAGACAGCCAGGTGTGGTAAAGCATGCTTGTAATCCCAGGACTGGGGAGGCTGAGACCTCCCAAGGTCTCAAGTGATCCCAAGATCTCTGTGAATTCAAAGCCAGCCTGGGCTACATAGTGAGTTCAAGCCCAGCCTGATCTACACAGTGAGACCCTGTCTCGAAACAAAAACAGAAACAAAAACAAAAAAATACCAAGTCAGCTGCTACTACATCTGTGTCTCACATATCTCATTTATTAGACATGCAAGATTGCTGCAAAGTTATATCAAGAAGAAAAAAACCCAATCTTTCAAGGGACTGCTTATTTTTCAAACTTCTCACAGAAATTGTCTTCACTTTAACATACATGCAAGTTAAACCATACTTAAAGCATTAAAATAACATTGCATTACAGAATAAATTTAGTCACACGATAATTAAAACCTTTAGGAGCAAGTTTGAATCTAAGGCTTCTTAATCTCTGTAGAAAACTATGTTCATCAGCTATTAAATTTTAAAGAACTGTGTATCCTAACTTTTGTTCAATTAAGAGAATACTGTGGACATAGTAGTGAACAAATTATGATCTGGGCTTAAGATTTCCCCTGTAATACCAAGTCAATAACAAATCATTTTCCAGGAATACCTGAATGAAAAAAAATCATTTAATATTCTTATAAGAAACTATTCTGTGTCTTTTTCTGAGTGAAACGGTTTTTATTTCTGCCTTTTGGGTTTTTAAAAAATATATTTTTATTGGTACATTTTAGGTATACAAAACAGTTATATTCATCATTGGGATCTTGCACCCTTACATCACGTATTTTGGTTCTCATTTTTTCCCCATTTCCCCAGCCACCCTTCCCTATTTACAAAGACTTTGTTTCCATTTTTTTTTCTTTTCTCTTCTTACCTTTCCCCTACCCCTCCCATTTCCCCAAACCTTTAGACGTTTTCTTCCTATTACAAAATATCAATTATACATTTTGACCCTCATTTACACTTTTAGTTTATCACACCAGAGAAGCTATACAGTATTTGCATGTGTGTCCCACTAATTTCACTTAAGAGTATGCCTTTTGCTTTTTAAGACCAACTTCTATGGCTCCTGAGAAAAGCAGCTGAAACTGCACTGGGACGAAGCTCTCCAAAGGCTCGGTGAGTTCGTGTTTGCAGATGGCATACCGCCAAACCCGCCAACTGCTCTCCCCACTCCTCATCCTGGAGGAACCCCAGCTCACATGGGAAGCAACGCGAGTCAGAGGCCTGGTCTTGCACAACTTTGTCTGCGTATTGGAAAAGCTGAGACTTGAACTCAAGGACCAAATGACTAAGTCTTCCCTGAATTCTGCATATTTTGAAGCAACATTCCCAGTAGAAATTCAGGCTACTTCGTGACACTGTAAATCAAGTGTAACTGTAGATTTCATGTACTTGTTTTTGAATGTGAGAACTCACAGCTCTAAGATGCCTAAGGAACCTAAATAAACAAATGTTCTCATTCGCTACAACAATGTAATAATCTAAATTCTAATTTCTCTTCCATCCCCCATGTCTCTAGATTTTCTACCATCTACCCTTGTCACTGTTAGCATTACTGTTTGTTATTGTTAGCATTACTCCTGACCAAAAGAATTAGGAAACCACCAGTGCTAAGACAAGTCCCAGAGTCCTTCTTTGCGAGGGTATGTGCATTATGAGGGCAACAGCCAGCACTGGAGAAAGTAACACAAGAGTTTTGGAGGTGCAGCTTAGCAGGAGAGTGCATGTTTACTGAGAGTGAGGCCCTGGGTTCAATCCCCAGCAATACAAAAGTGGGGGAGATAAAGAAAATAAAGTGACATAAAAGCTCAGATATTACGAAGTGCTACAGTTCAGAGAAGTGAGGCATCTAAACACCAGGACAGCGAGTGAAGACTACGTAGCAGCTGAACTAGATTATGAATAATCCAGAATGTATGAGCACATCAGCCAAGGCACACAGGAAGCCAGGTTCAAATTGCTCAGGGGACGAGGGACTCACTTTGGTAGGCAGATATTTTGTGCTTAAGACTCATCCTTGGATGAAAGCATCACCTCTTTTATCCTGGAACTCTGAGCACTCAGCACCATGTCTACCACCTAACAGTGCCCCAACATACAGTCATTGAAAACAGTAATACGATAATAATAATAACAATAATATTCTGTGCAAAAATGTACTGGAAAATCAGTCTACAGGGGTAAGTAATACCTTGAATTCAAAGATAACAGCCGTAACCCTTGAGCCAGCAGCTCCCCCATCATAGAATTCAAGCCTGTTCTTCATTAAAATCATTTTGCTCCTCTCTCCCTTGGCTGTACTCACCTGGCCAAGCAGCAACCTGGCTCCACCTAAGAAGTTGTATCTCTCTGCGGTCTGCAACTGGAGAAACAACTGCACTATCTCCCTTTGAATTGGGATCCAGTACAAGGCCCCAAATGGGCACAGCTCCACTCTGCTGACTTTCTGCAGTCCCCAGCAGAATCATTTTCCAGAAAAACTTTTCACTCCTCTTTCACCTTTACTTCCCACCTGTGTCTTTGAGAATGCAGAAGCAATGAGGCAGGAACTCCCTTTTGCAGCCACCTTTATGCCTAGTTCCACTTTCTTTCTTGTGGAGAGAAAACTTCCTGCAGCTATCAAAAGCCAAACTGGGGCTGGGGATTTAGCTCAGTGGTTCTACCGCCTGTCTCATAAATGCAAGGACCTGAGTTCAACACCAGGTACAAAAAATAAATAAAATAAAAAATAAAATAAAGGCAAACTGTCCACCTATGTTGCAGCTTCCCCCATCACCCTCCTCACTACTCCTCCCTCTCCTGGAAATTATCCCCTATTTTTTTTTTTTTTTTTTTTTGTT